TTTTAGTGAAGTTAGGTAGGTGCATGTTGGTTGATATTCTTAATGAGTGATGTTTTAGTTTGATCTTTTAATTTTCTATTAACTTTCATTAAAGGAAATTCAAGAGCTAGTGGAATGTTGGAAAACTGGGACATGCAAGTAAGAACTGTCACCCAAGCAGATTTTGATGTCTGTTTTAATGTCTTTGTTGTAGCTTCAGGGGTTTTTTACCCCCATTCAAGCATTACCTGGTGTTTTTATTTCCATCTGACAATGTGTATAAATAGGAGTTTAAGTAGCATCAGTGTAACCTCTATTTGTACCTTAATTTTTTTTTCCCTGGTCCTAGTTTATATAGGTAAATTTCTGACTTGCTTGTAGTCGGATTTCTAATTTTATCAATACTGGAAGAGAGTATATGCTAGCACTAGAGAATGTGCCCATCAGCATGAGTTGTTGGAAATCACATTCTATTCCTGACAAATCCTAGTCTTTGCATAGCTAAAACATGTTTTTTATTCAAGGATTTGACTTTTGTTGTTTTAAAAAAAGATTTTTTTTTTTTTGCAAGTGAGGTTTGTGTTCTTGAAAAAATCCTTATACTTTCTGCATTTTTAACTGAGAAACTAGTTAGGCAAAATCCAATATGAAACATGATAGAGGACTAACAACTGAATTTTGGATTCTCCTTCAACACTGTGGAGAGAAGAATTCCCTTTGTTCCAGTTATTAAACTAACTGCATGCCAGCCCCCGGAGTTTCATTGTTACTTTGATTTTTCTAACACTCTACAAGAATAAAGACTTACTTCTTAGCATATATGCTGTAATATTTATTAGAAGCATTTGTGAGGTGTAGACTCTCTCATCAATTGGTAAAGGTAGCTAAAAGATTTTGCTGAGGAAGACTCAGCAAAAGGTGTTTGCTCCTGTAGGGGAGGAGACATGTAAAAGCTGTCAAGTGTAACTGTGAAGGCTGGGGACTGCAGCATTACTGTCATTGTGCTCCAGCATTACTTGGATTGATGCAAGTGCTGTACACGTGCAGCCAAGGGAGACCTGAGCAATTTTCCCTGGTGCTGCTCTGAATTTCAGTTGAGGCTTATCCTCTTTCAGTAAGAAAAGTGTTCACTGAGACTTAGGATTCAGAATAAACACGGAGTCTTTCCTACCAGTCTTAAAATGTATGTTTTGTACAAGTAACGGTGGCTGCCGGAAAAGGAGCAAATTCCCATTATATTGTCTTGGCATATAAGCACTTCAGCCTCATTGATAAGGTGATGTTGGCTGTGGAAAGAATGTGCTCGTTTGGCTTAACCCACAAAGCCTGGACCATGACAGCTGTAAATTGGTGATGAACGTAACCATGTCACTACCACGTCTTTGTGTTATTATTCGCAGTGGCAGGCATTTTACGTGGAAGGATTCTTTCTTACTTACTCTAGAGCTTTGTGATGGGATAATGCTGATTGTAAAAATAAGCCTAGGGGAGACTTGGTATGTGCTTGCAATTATTGTAAAATTTGGCATAATTTCAAAATAAAACAGGATGTGAAATATCCACAAATAGTGTCAGAAATCTTTAGTTACGTGCCTATATTTATACCTGACTTCACAGGATTGAAATGCAGATCTTTATGTTATGTACTTCAGTAAAGCTCATATTTTGCTGCCTCATCTTCCTGTTGTCAATAAAAGGTCTGATCTTACAGTATTAATGCTAAAGTCTATTGATTGTTGCATCCAGAAATTGCATCCATAATGTTTTCTGTCCTGTCTGGGTTAGTCTTAAACCCCCTCTTGCTCTCCTACCAGCTTTCTCAAGCTGGGCCTTCTGCCTTCTGCCTGAGGCTCAAGGAGGTGGGACCTCTTCTACTTCCCACCACCACGGCAGGAGGATATGTGGGTGGCAACGCCATACATTGTCCAAGCTGGTCAGCTTGGGAGATGGATGCTTACTGCAGTTGTCTTGATGATTATTTGCAAATACTACTTTTCCAGTTTAACTTAATTTAAATATGACAAAAATTTACTTATAGAGCGCTTTGTGAAGAAGCTACTCATCTCCTATAATACAATTCCATATGGCAGAGCATAGCTGCTGTGATAGTGTGGGTTTATTTGTATTTTGTATATCCAATTCAAATATTTTGACTTTAGCCTTAAACATGCTCATGTTTGAGAAATTGGAAGAAAAAGTTCTCTGAGCACTTCAAGAAAAAGTTGATGCTAATTTAGTAACAAGAAAATTACAGTTCTAGAGTATTCCCCTTAAAGTATTTGTAAGCATAGGAACCTGCAGGGAGGCTACACTCCTGTCAGTTCATGTGGGTGCTGTTTGATTATTTCCCTCTTCCAACCCCCCTTTAGCTAAAAGGTCAGATGGGTTTTTGTACTCTTCATTCTCTCTCTCTCTCAGAGATTTGATTACGTATTTTATTAAAATAGTACAGATAACTATAAGTTGGAAGTTTGCATTAGATTGAAGTTAATTATTTAAAGACACCTTGTAGTTGCATTAAAGGGAAAAAATCTGAGAGCAGATGTTGTTAGTTGGTCCTTAAGCAAATACTGACAGAAGTTTCATCCCTTGAGTCATACAGATCTGTTATTTTACTGCCTCTAAGAAGAAAATGTTACTTTGTTAGAGTGTGTGCCTGTAATAGCAGTCTGAGCAAACCCGGACATCTTATTCCACTACTACACTGTAAGATCAGAAGTTTTGGGCAGATTTGACCAATCATGAAATTTCAGGATATTACCAGAGATTCTGACCTTTGTCTTTAAACTGTTTAGCAGGTTACCTGATTTGTCTCAACCAAAGACAAATCGCCTTAACCACTTCCTTAATCAAAAATCCTTGCTAAAGAAGGGATGGAGGAAGGCCAAGCACAGTGCCCTGTTGGGGAAGAGGGTCACCCTTTGCCTGGCAAGTTTTGGCCCTTCTGCTGTTGTGCTGCCTGTGGATCCTCTTCTTTGAGGAGATCGGGTCAGGTGGTGCAGAGTAATATTTTGTTCAAGTCTAGGTAGTAAGTGTTTGGGGGGGGGGGGGAAAACCAAACCAAAACCAGCTGTGTCCTCCTAAAGAGCTTCATTCAGAAAGTATCTTACCCTTCTACATATTTTGGGAGAATGAGGAAGTAAAGTTTTTTTAGGTGATTTGTGTCTTCGCTTAAGTATATAACATAAAAGTGGTCATACTGTAAAAGAGTACTGTTTTGTTAGTCTCCTTGTAGCTTAGAAAGAGCATGGAAATAGAGAGTTTTATTTTTACTTAGCTTCCACAACAGCCTCCATTTTCTAAGATGTCATTATCCTTATCTCTATAGTATGTCTGTGCTGCTTGTAATTTCCCCAAGCAACAGAAGCAGTAGAACAAAGTCGGTGTGTGGTGATTTTTTGTAACAATTTCATCATTTCACAAAATCACTGTATTACAGGAGTGACAAGTGGCTAATCAGTGTCACTCTTTTGTCTGGTTAGAGCTCTAGACAGTAACTAAGGCATTCAAAGTGTGATTGAAGTCTTAAGGAAATGGTTTTGCATTAGTCCACCTTCATGTAACAAGGTAGGAGTCTTCACAACTACAGAAGTTGTCCTTTTTCAGGAAACATGGATTTAAGTTTTGTGTAAAAACCAGTGGCTTTGACACCCCCACCCTTCACCCATGGGTTTTCTAGGGAAGGCTTTTTGGCTATGCCTGGTCAGTGACTGATTGGATTCTGCAAAAGTTGACATCTTTGCTCTGGCTCTCTGTAGTTCTTGCCAGCCTTTTGGAGAGCTGTCAGCTTGAGATTGGGACTGTTTGGAACATATCTGTGAAACTGTTTCGGATACTTAGTTTGTTTTTGACTTTAACTGGAAGCTGGTAGTTCCCCTGCATGGGGAAGATAGAAAATCTGCAATGTGCATGGAAGAAGAGAAGTGTCTGACTGCACCAAACTTTACAGATAAACTCTGCTGACATGTAGTTTTGTCAAAAGCATAGTATCTGCTGAAAAAAGTACATCTATTTTCTCTTTGTTAATGGTATTTTACTTCTAACAATAGTAGCTGCATGAGTTTTACTTGAAAGCTTGTTTTGTGTTATTTAATATAATGAATGTTGCGCTGTATTTGCGAGACTTGCCTGTTCAGGACAAGCTTTACATCAGAGAGTTTTCTTGTGATGGGAAATAATCAAAATGTGGTTTGTTTGGTTGTGGGTTTTTTTGTTTTATTTCTAAAGGCATTTTTTTTCACCTGTCATGCTTGAATTGAGAATATTTGACACTTCTTGAGGTATTTTAAATTTAGTTTTAAAAAGATTAAATACTGGCTTGACCAATTATTAAAGATAATGTTGCCAAGGTGTTCATGTACTTGTAGTATATGTTGATTGATCAGAAGTTAAGGCGTTGGTATAAACGTGGTGTCTTCCCACTTTTAGCTTTTTCCTGTGTATTTACAGATTTTCCAGGTTACAGTGTGTTTTGTATTCTGCTCTTACACTTGCTTGATAATAGTAAAGAATTTATTACCGTAGCCGTTGATTATCATGTCGATATGTAAGGCCTTTGTATTATGTCATCTTCCCGTATCGGGCTCTCTTGGTGTGGGTCATCTTAACTTTTACTTCTGAATTCTGCAAATATGGTTATCAGAGGAGTCAATCATCTGTTTACCATCTCTCTTGAAATCAGCAGCCATCCTTTCTAGTGGTGAAATGGTGTGTTCATTAGTCCCCACAGAGCAAGAAACAATAAGTGTGTGTTTGGATGTGCAGTAAATGAACTTCCTAGAACAGGACATTGAAATTTTACTACTGTAACCTCCAACATTGCAGGGTTGAGGTTTTTTTTGTTGTTGTTGCATTGGGGTTTTTGGGGTGCTGTTTCTTCTGTTTGTTTATTTTTACATTTAAACCCAGCCTTTAATGTTTAAGATGACTTTTAAATCTGCTGGACTTTTAAACTTTATTTATTAATTCTTGAGATATATTAGATTCTTCTGTGGCTTCAGTATTTCCTGGTCTCTTCACAGGACCCCAGCTGAATGCACAACTAGAAGGGTGGCTTTCTCAAGTACAGTCCACAAAAAGACCTGCAAGAGCCATTATTGCACCGTAAGTTTGAAATCTGTTTTTAGTATATATATTAACACTTGATTGGTTAAATACTTTTTTTTGTTCATTTGTTTTGATTGATTTTCAAAATTGGTAAAAACTAGTATTTAGCTGAAAGGAATGTAGTGTATTTTTTTAATAAGCATTTTGAATATGCCATAGAATGGAAGAAATCTGTGCACGTTTTGATGTATGATTAATTTCCTTTTGCTGATGGACTCCAGACACAATATTCATTTGTGATCCAGTAAGATGGGTAAGAGGTGTATTAATGGAGTGCTATTCAAAGGTGACAGCCCTTTCAATGCACTTCTAGTGTAGGACAGCTACACCTACTAGGAAAAAAAACCAACAACACAAAAAATAAGTAAAACTCTTGCACCCCTCTTGCCCCCCAAATCAAAACTTAGCAAAGCTTAAAACAAAAAGTAATGAAATATTATTCAGCTATCCAAAATGGTTGGTTTGTTATTTTAGTTTGGTTTTGTTTGGGTTTTTTTTTGTCCACAGCTGGAATAGGGATTGTCTGAACTACTTAGGGAGAATTCAGTTTCCTGAAGATAGGTGAGATGTAATGAGAAAAGTATGTTGGTCATTTCAATTAATTATGAGTTGGAAGAAAACACTAGAAAAAGCACCTTAAATATGATGGTTTTCCTGTGCTAACATAGCATTGTGTCCTAGTTAGAACAGCTGGGACTGGTTCATCACTGTATGGGTGTAACCCAAAACGGTGTATTCTATAGCCTTCCATGCCATTTCCCAGAAACTGTTGTTAATAGACCATTTACACCACCTGCCCAGAGCAGCCTGACTCCTCAGGCTATAAGCTGGGTGTTAAGAGGCCTGTGAGATAGGAGGATGCTCCTGTCCTCAAACCCGTTGTGGAACTCCCTGCCCTGAGGGAGGTACTGGGCATTCCTGCCTGAACCTGAGGATATATATCATCTTGGAGTCTTGGGACTTTTTTACCACTCGTGGGATCCAGAGAAGGAGGGTGGCCACCACTTTTCAACCGGACTGCGACCACCACTCTCGACCAAACTGCAACAGCACTCTCACCAACAGGTTTTCCCTCTCCTTTTACTTTGGACTCAGGGGGCCCGACGAACACCACTTCGTTCATGCCCCAGGGTGCTGGGTTATATATTTGGGTTTTGTGGGTTAAAACCAATTGTTTGCCTATATAATCGTACTTATTGTATTATTTTATTAAATTGTTATTCTGATTTATAATCTCTCTTTTGAGTTGGGTTCATTTCCCCTGCCAGTTTACCTTTAAACCAGCACACGTTGACATAATGTTTGAAGTATTCCATAATAGTATTGAATTTCCAGAAGACATTGTCCCAGGTTTGCCTTAATCTTTCTTGCAGGAATGTCAGGAAAGAGACCTTTCAGTTGCAGATTATGTAAACTGGGATCTTTTTCCAGAATTGCTAGGTCCTGTAATCTCAGATCTCACCAAAGTTTTTCATTAGCCATGCCTTTTTTTTTTTTCCCTACCTGTAAAGTGGGATATATCTGATAATATTTTTGTGGAAGACAGAAGAAGCCTGTAGCAGAGCAAACCTTTCAGCAGGCTGTTTTGACATTGTCAAGTGACATACCTTGCCAGTTCTGAGCTCTTTAGAATGAGTGGATTAAGTCACGTTGAAGTAAAATCCCAGGGTTATTTTGAGGATAACTTGCTCCACGTATCAACTCTGTGGATGAATATAGATGCAGGTGAGCATACATACATATAGAATCCTCCTGTGCTATGAACAAGGAACTTGTATCTTCAAACATCCTGTATGTCCCAGGACATGCAGTATGTATCATTCTCAGTATCATTGTGTAAAAAGACTTGGGAAGGCTGTAGTTGTGTTGTTGCACATACTCGACTCAAAATAAGCAGTAACTATTGACCTGGAGTTGCAGGTGCTCTAGATGAGCTCGAGGGGGTGATGTGGCACGGCCATACTGCTGAGTGACTGTGAGCTCTTTTGCGCCACTTGACCTTGGACTTTGGAAATGAATGTTCTCTGGAATTAATGCTTTTAGTGGTGTAAAGTGAATTTTCACTGGTTTCTAACAGTTTTGAAGGGAATGGGTCTTAAGATTTGAATGTGATATTTAAAACAAGTAGTCAGAATAATTAAAAATAATTTTGGAGAGCAAACAGGAACAGAGGTCAAGAAAGACCCCAGACCAGAGTGACAGGAAACGATGAATCATGCATCATGTTTGCAGTAAAAACTAGCATGCTGCATTCCACTTCTGTCTGTGTGCCCATTCACTCTCTTGCTCATGTATTCTTCTTCTGTGACAGAGCATTTTTATTCTCTGGTTTATCTGCTGTAACATATAGTTCTCGCCTTGCCAGACCCCTCTACTGTCATTGTTTTCAGTTACTGCCATGTGGTTGGAAGAGCCTTCTCCAGCAGTTTGCTATTCCCTTGTTCCCTGGTTGCACACTTTGTGTTATCATGAGCTTCTGATAATGTGCAGTTGTGCACTCTGCACACCAGTGTCTTTTAAGAGTGATGGAAGGGACTGTGTTTTGGACGTTTATTTACCGTCAAATGGCCATTGATCGTTCTTTAATGAGTCGGTAAACGGTCCCTGATAGTTAGTTCTTCTATCACTTTTGTGATCAATACTACAGCCATGCTCTCCTGCTCTTTCAGGAGTTGGCTTTTAGATCACTCTTACTATTTCTAGCTTACTGGGGACAAAAAATATGCAAGATATTAATATTTAATAACAATATCAACATATTTAAGATGTTAAGCAATATTTAACATTGTTAACATTTTGTACACCTTGATTTGCAGCCACGCAGGATACACGTATTGTGGATCTTGTGCAGCCCATGCTTACAAACAAGTGGATCCTAATATCACGTAAGTATGAGTCTTTCTTTGCAAAGCAGGAGACAATGCCGTTGCAATTCTCTGATAAGCTGAATGTTCTTTTTACATTCTTACACCTTGAAGTACTCGGGTTTTAATTTTGTACTTTTTTTTAGACTTTTATGGGTCCCTTTGGTTTTAACATCATACATGTTCAAATTGGATGTTACAAAATAAAAAAATATAGTATTGTTGAAATAGAAAATGTAAAGTAGTATTTTCAAAAATTTGTTGAAATTATTGGTAACTATAACAAGGGAGGGCTTAAAGATGTCCTTTTTGCAGGTAATAACAGTATATTACTGACATTCCACTGCTTTTATAAAAGCCCAAGCTGGTTTTTTTTTGGGGGGGTGTAGTTTTTGGGTTGATTTTGGTTTTTTTTGGTTGTCATTGGGAGGTTTTGGTTGTTTTTTAAGTCTGTTAAAATATTTGACCATGATTCTGCATTAGTTTTTCAGTGCAGGATTATGGGCTGAATACTACCAGGTTTCTCTTCTTCTATGGAGAAAGTGACTCATGTGTTTATATAATATTTTAAGTCAGTGACAGTTACTCATTCCAATAATTTTAGGTGGACTTTTGTTTCTAACAAGTTTAAAATAAGAAAAATTAAAACCCCCCTCAGCATGCTACTGTAGTCTGTGCCTGCATCTGAAAATATGAATCCAGTTATTTTAGGTTAAAGGAATATAATTCTTGTGATGTTCTGCTTACTGCAACTTTTTTTTTTTAATGGCAAAAATTTAATGCACCTTCAGTATTTACTCCAAGTATGTATTTTGCAATGCTAAATAAAAACTGGCTAGGTTTATCAGTTTTTCATGAGATAACATGTTGTAATATGCTCCAAAGCCAATGGGTTTAATTCTTTCTAAACTGTTGTAAACTATGTGAAAATATTTTATGGTGAGACATAAGTTTTAGAGAAACCTAGTTCCTCTAAAATTTCCAGAACAAGTTGCATTGCCCACATTCAGTGACATGGAGTCAATTGAACTTTATGGATCATTTGCTGTTTTACGACATGGAATGTTTAGAATTCATCTTTGAGCTGAATTATTGCATGTTTGGATATTTTCTTTTCATTAGCTTTGCAGAAAGTTATAGTATTTTAGTATACCTTGCTAATAGCACTTTCCCACCCTTTTAGTTCAGTGCCAGAAAAAAGATGATATCCTGAATGGGAAAAGCTGAATTTCCTATATTTTTTGTTTCTTTTTTCTTGTAAGTCCTGTGGCAGGAGACCCTAAGCATCTAATCAAGAGCCAGGAACTGAGGACTTGATGAAATAACATCATGATGACGTGTGAAAGGTTGCAGTATCAGCTAAAGCTATGAATGTGCAGGTCCAAGTCCCTGTTGTTGATGCAACAGATAGATAAAAACAGCATTTGAGAATTACTTTAATTTGGTGTAATCTGAACTGAGACTAATCAACTAAATAAGTGAAAAGCTCTGAATAGATGATAAACCCATAATCGTTTGAGGTCACATTCCTATAGTTGTTGAAGGTGGTGTGTAGTGATGTGTAGCTGAAGGTTCTGTTGATCCAAGGAGAGAATTCAAAAAATCTGTTCTGAGGGGCTGTATGACATCATTCAGCCTCCAAATGCATCCAGTTAGACAGATTTCTAGCTGTTGAGTGCCCTGTGATATATAACCTGCTTAAGAGATTTAAGGCTACAGGAAGCATTATTGAACTGATCTCATGATAATTTCTGAGATACTGAGCAAGGTTGAGCCATGGATTGATCTGTGGTCTTACAGACAGCAGAGTAAAACAGTTGTAGCCTTGAGAAAGTATTGCTTTCTATGTTTTTATTAAACTTGTTGCTCTAAGCTAGGTCTCTCTACAATTGCATTTATCTAAACTGTGGGCTTTTGTGTTAATTGTTGCAGCCGAAAAATTTTCATTCTTGGGCCTTCCCATCACGTGCCCCTCTCCCGATGTGCACTTTCCAGTGTGGACATTTACAGGACACCTCTGTATGATCTCCGAATTGACCAAAAGAGTGAGTGCATGAAAAAGCTTACATCTTGAAGACTGCTGAGGCTTGAGTATTAACTGTGGTACTACAGTGCTGAGGACTTGCTTGTTGAGCACTTCCTTGCTTTAAGTGGCACACAAGTGCAAATCAGGTTTTACTGCAACCAAAGCTAACTTCTGAAAGATCCTGGCTGTGGCAGGCATTGTCGTGTTATAACCATATCTCTCTTGCTCCTGACAAGTAAAGAATTCTCAATTTTTGCTTATCTTTTCCATTTTGAGTGTGTGATCACTTGACAAGTGATCTTTAAAAGAGCTTTAAAAATTAAAAAGTGTTACTGTCAAAGAATATCTCACTAAGCACCTTCTCCATTATTCTGTGAAGTATTCTGGCTGGAACAAGGTACTTCAGTTGGTTCGAGTTTGATTTCTGATAGAGGAATAACAGAGGAACATGCATTATTGCATGTGACTTTTTAACTTGCAAAGTACCTGCATAACTTAAAAATCATTAGTGCATGAAATACCAGTCTTTGGAAGTAAGCTTAAAGGTGCAATGAAGATAAATTTGATATTTTGACTTTTACGCATTTCAAGGTATACCTGTATAATACAGTATCTTTTTCAGAAGGGCTAATTAGCGCAGATATATTGTGTTTCATCGTAACTGTGATTAAGCAAGATAATTCAGGCTTTCTACATAGTGCCTGCAGAAATTTCCTTAGGTAAGAAATGTTCTGGGTTTTGTAGAACTCCTTTATGAAAAGACTAAAGAAGGAGGCACAGCCCTACATCAAATTTTTCGTGCAGTGGATAATTTTCAAAATGTAGAAATGACTCCGAATACTCTCAAGCACACTTGAGAATAGAAAAGATAACTTGCAAATGTGGATTACTTAACCAGTTTCGGCTGTCTCTAGATTTCATGATTCGGTCAATAATAAATTGTGTTAAGTAGTAACACATCCAGCAATGGCTTCACTGATCAATTTTTTTTAATATATGATGATGCTGTTTGTGAAAATAAGAATTCAATGACTGGGCAAATTTATGTATATTTTCATTCATGTTTTATTTGTATTACTTGGATTTTCAGTTATGATACAAGATTTTTCTCAATATACTAACAAGTTCACTGATTTAACATACTTATTTTGTAAACTGAATCAATTACATTTGTATCTTAATTACTTGAATATCATTTTAATCCTGAATTTATTTAGAAACAAGTGGTTTGTGATGACAGCCTTTGGAGGCAAGTAGTTTGTTCTAGTGGGCGTGTTCTTATAAAGATGCACTGTAGCTTGCTTTTTCACTTGTAGCAGTTTTCAGAAACATAAAGTAGTAAAAATTAATCTTTTAATTCGTTTCAGTTTATGGAGAATTGTGGAAGACTGGAATGTTTGAGCGTATGTCCCTACAGACAGATGAAGATGAACACAGTATTGAAATGCATTTGCCTTATACTGCTAAAGCCATGGAAAGGTACTCGGGCTAATTACTTCTACAAGAATGAGCATTATGTGCATTAAATGTTTGAACTACATATTAAGTGCAGTAGGAAGTAATAATGAATTTTATGGCATAGAGTACCTTATATGGTATATAATGCTTACTGCACACTCCCCCACACTCCAGTAAAAATTTTGGTAAGGAGAGGGTCAGAGACTAGGATAAGTTGCTGTAATAGAAACAGTGAGCAGAGCAAACACCTGAATGATGAAGTTGTAACACCTCTTATAGACAGGTTTACATTGATCTAAAATAGATTCATGAAAGCATGTCTATATTAACTCTTTCTCAATAGCCGATTTCCTCCCCCCTTCCCCCCCCATTTTTTGCAAGGCATCTTTGCAAGACGTTCGAATACCAATAGGTGTTTTCTGTGGGATTTTAAGTTTGTTCGGAACTTAAGTACTAATTTTGAAATCAGGGTTCTGTTTACACCTGCTGTTTCAGATCTGTATTTGAAATAAAAATTGTCATCATTAGAGAAAAATTGTCAATTTGGGTTGGGGGTTGTTCCCACATGTGCAGGTCACATCTTTTTATTTTTATTATTTCTTCCATTGTATTTTAAATTATCCCTAGAGTATCAGTGTACACCTGGGTACTTACCTTGAGCATTTTCATATACGTTTCATATACTTTGGAGAATTACCCAACATGCAGTATCTATACAAGCTGAATCTAATTCTTATTTCACTGCTGATTTCACTGTGTCTTTTCTTTTTGTTTGCCTGGTGTTTTCAGTTTGCAGGAAAGTTAAATACTGCATTTGGGGATGTGTGTTGTTTTCTGAAGTTTTAAGTACTTTGAGGTTCTAAAACAACATCCTAGTATGACCTCACCAAATTACTATCTTCAACTCAATAGTGACCCTTTAAAACATTCTGCACTTTCAGTTAGCAAGCCCTGAAAAATCTTCAGATGTTACTTGAACTACAACCTTTTTTCTTTTGCTTATAAGCCATAAGGATGAGTTTACTATTATTCCTGTGTTGGTCGGAGCACTGAGTGAGTCAAAAGAGCAGGAATTTGGAAAACTCTTCAGTAAATACCTAGCTGATCCTAGTAACCTCTTTGTGGTTTCTTCTGACTTTTGCCATTGGGGTAAGTTTCATATCTCTTCATGATAACGGTATGTTGAATCTTTTGTAGTTATTTTCAAATAATGTATTTTTTAAACATTGAACATTTTAACTTCTTGTACATGTATTTTTGAAACTTAAATGCCTTTGTAAGGGTAATAAAAGGATTTTTTAAAATCTGGAACGATAGGTGAAAAAAATTGATGTGATAATGTGTTTTCAGTATAGTGGGGAAAATAAATGGTGAAGGTGTTGTGGGTTTATATGCATCTCTTTACTGTTGCAATGTAATAATTGTCTGAAGTTGCTTGCTCTTTTTACTCTTCTTCTAAGCACCTCAAACAACTTGCAGAACTAATTAGCTAAAAATTCACTGGACATGGCCACATTCTTCTGACGGAAATAAGTTTTGTATGTTTTACTGCTGGGTAAGATAGCAGATGGAGTATTTATGCCAGCTCACCAGAGCTATCCCAGTTCATCTTGGTGGCAGAGCTAAAAAGGCTCCAGAAGCCTTGACTTCTGTCCTCCTTTAACACTTTATTTTTCTTTTAAGTGTGATAGTAGCTGGAAAAGGGACTGCTTCAGAAAGATATGTTACACAACAGACCTCCTTTCTTTTTTTCCTTGTCATCTTTGGTCAACTTACATAATTAAGTGCATATTTTACTCATCTTTGAATTGTGGAGTAGGTGGAAGTATATATCATGACCTGGGTTCTGTTGTGGCTAATGAACCATCTGGAACTGTTCATTGAATTATCATAAATTTTTTCTTTTAACCTTCATTTACTGTGGGTATTGTTGTGCAAGCAGAAGTAGCCTGACTCCATGGTTGACTTGGCCAAGAAGGATAGAGAAATGAAATGTTGCTTTACTTTTTACTTTATAGAATTGGATTCCAAGGCAATAACAGGCAATTAATAAATGATACTGCAGTGTCAGTTCTACATAGTAGGTTTCTTTTTAGGAATATAGCTACCCATCCTGTATTTTTTTTACTTTGTTTCTGGGCTGCTACTTGATGATAGCCCTAGAATTTTCTCAGTGGAGCTAAAACGTATAAAATAAATGAAGATTACTAGTTTACAAATATTATACTTTCAAATATTTAGTAAGTACTAGGGAGTGTTTTAGCTACAATTTTTCCCTTTTTTATTTTATACATGATTTTTGTTTCAAGGTCAGAGGTTCCGTTACAGTTACTATGATGAATCCCAAGGAGAAATTTATAGATCCATTGAGCACCTAGATAAAATGGTAAGTTTTCAGATTTGGTGGAACTAACTAACAAATTTCTCCTGTACATTACATTTCTTTGAACACTTTAGAAATTTCTCTAACAAAATATTATAGATTAGCTATTTTATTGAATGTATCATTTTCCTTTGTTTAGCACAATAAGAACTTAGCTGTCGTTTTTAGTTAGTATCCTCCATTTTACTGACTGCACACAATTATATTGCGGGTATAATCTAGTAAGAGTAATTTATGAGAATAAATGCATGTTCACCTACCTAAAATGCCCTAGTGTCACGTAATTCCTGTCCGCATACCCTCTAATGTTTTTGAGAGTCAGTGAGAATCATGCATGGAGTATTGTGGCAGTTCAGGTTTGATAGCTGTGATACCTGCGTGTGGAAACAGCATTGTGATTGTGCTAATGGTTTCAGCAACATCCATTTTGAGGAGGAAAGGCTGTAGGGGATTGCGCTGATCAGGAAAATGAGTCAGCACCATACCTGGTAGTAGTGTTCCCCTTGGCCCTTACTCTGTAATACGTGGTGGGAAAGAGAAGTAGACCATACTTCATTCTGTGTTTGGTGAAAGGCTGAGAGGAATGCTGAATACATAAAGGTTATGATGCCAATTATGTTGTGTTTCCTTTGCAATCACAGGAGACAAAGATTTATTTTTAAATTAAAAAAAGGTTAATGTTCAAGACTATACTTAAGGCATAGAATAAAAGTAATTCTTTTGGAAATACATAATCTTAAAATTTGTTTTACAACTGCTTGCATCATTTATGTAATTTCTGTAGAATCTGTTAGAAGAGAGAACTGTTGTTGTTCCTGGCATATTAATTTTTTTCTTGTCTTGAAGGAATAAATCCTATCTGCTGGAGGGATCTCTTAAGTTTTTTCCTCTGTTTATCCATATTAATGTTTGGTTTTCCACTACTCATCACTGGAATAGGAACAGTAAATAACTTGCCTTCATTCTGTTTATCCCATTTTTAATAATTCTTGTAGTCAGTTGAGGGCTTTCTCTATCAATACAAGTGGTTTTCTACAGAATCCCAGAATTTGCAGCTCTGAATGTTTTTGCAGGAGAGCAGATTACGGTGCATTAGCAAACATTAGTTTCCCTTTGTTAATTTCTGTGGTGAAAGCTTCAAGACTGGACTTTGGCATTTAATTACTTTTAGGAAAGGCATTGCTGCACCAACTCTTTCTTTTGGTAGTTATTCAACCAAAAGGAAATTACATTTTTTGTGACACGGAAAATCACGTCTACTGTTTGAAAAAGTATTTTTATAGTACTAAAATTGGCTTAATTTTATTGGACCTAGCTAGGAAAGCAGTCGGCTGAGCGCTTTGTAAGCAGGAAAGCATTCTGGGTTAAGATGAAATCAGTTTCCCTTGAAAATGCCCTTGTGGAAGGATAGTGGTCTCTTCCTTATTTGGACTGAACCTTGCATATAGATGCATAATGATTTTCCCACCTAGTGCATAAAAACTGCTGAACACTTTGGGTATTGAAGTTTTACTAAGCTGGTAACCATGATGAGAAATTTTATTTGCTGTGATTCTAACTTAGAGCCATTAGACTCCAGCATGAAAAAATACAGAGTAGTAAATATTACTAGGCAGACATCAGTTTCTCCATGGTAATTGTTGATATGAGCACTGTCACCACAATGCACTCTGTGAAGTGACAGTAAAAGAAGTAAATAAGCTTCATGGTTAATAGGGGGGTACCTTAGGGAAGAATCCTCAAACGAAGAGTTATTATTGAGCAGCTCGTGTACAATAGTTTGTACAGCATAACCTGCTAACTACCATCTTTTTAAATAAAAGGCAGGAGGGGAGTATTTTGTAAGATGTTGTTGAAGAGTAATTATTCTTGATTATGACGACCCAGAAAATGCAGACGGCTCTCTTCAATCTTCACTGCCAGATTGCTCATTTTATATGAGCATATTATTTATATGGGAAATGTTATGCCTCACGTGAGTCAATGGGAGGATTCTGTTACCCTGAATGCTGACAGTGCAGTCACTGAGGAGAGCTGTGAGGAACAGCCAGCAGTGGTTGTGCAGGAGCCATGCTCAGCACTGGTGGCCTCTCAGGTAGCTCTAAATGAACTGCTGAATTCCGGTGGCTTCTGCAGCACTGCTGCAGTATGCCAGGACCTTCCACAGTGCTCCAGCCTGGGAAGGCTTCTTAACCTGAGCATAATGCAAGACAATGACTCTCTGCCTGGGTTCCCAGATCCCTGCTGTTTCTGCTGTGCCCAGCCAGTAATTTTCCCGTTGGTTGTTTATCTTCCAGTCTGAGTGACTACACATGCAAAGATAGTTGGACTGGATGGTATCAAGACCAAGTTTGTTTCTACTTCCATTAGAGGGCTACTAGTTTATATTTTTAAGTGTGAAGAAGCAGCTGAAGTGACTTATAACAAGCTTTAATTTAACCAGTCAGAGGATTAGTGGAGAATAGTGTGAAATAAACCCATAGGTTGGTGGAGGTTTTGTGTGTGTTGGTTTGGGTGTTTTGGGTTTTTTTGTAATTTTTGTAAGCTTGTAGATGCTTGATCCTGTTAAGGGATGATATTTAGAAATGTAACTGGTTTTAATCATATTAAGTGCACTGTGCTATGATATTGTAGATGCTATTAACAGTGTCTGGGTAACTGAGGTATGCAATTGCTATGTGATGCCTTAATAACCGTGTGATAAACTGCAGAACTGTGTTTGCATTTTTATCATGTGGGTTTTGTCCCGTGTTTTAACTCTGTTCTAAGCCATGCCTGGCTGAGTTGTTACAAATACTAAAAATTAATAGCTTCAAAATTTTGCTTTTTAGAAAAATAGAACACAACCTGACAAAAATGTTTCCTTTGTTCCTCAACACCATTTTAGGCTGAGAAATGAGCTTGGTGGTCTTTGCTTCTCTGCCACAACAATTTTTAAATCCAAAGATTGAAAAGTTCAATACAACTGACTGCTTATAGGATATTTGTTAATACCCATTTCCTATGGATTTTCTCCAGTCTGTAATGTATGGAACTCTGTTAGCATTTTCTGGGATGAACTGCATAGCTCTAAATGTTTTGCAGTGCTGAACAGTGCACTGAAATAGGCTTACTAGGCATTCTCATAAACCCATGTCCATTCATTTGAGACAAATGCTCAAATGCTTCTGCCCAGTATGTTCCAGTGACTTACAACTATAAAACAAGTCTCTCAATTGAGCAGCCATTTTCATTTTTTGAAAAGGTTGTGAAAGGATTTACAAAGAGATAAAATTTATTTTCATGAACTATTCAGTATCCGAGTAAGCACCTTATGCATGTTTAGTTTCACTTGAGTATGTAGTCAGGTTTGGTTCTGCTTTCTTTAGCAGAACGTATGTATTGACACGTCCGATTTACAAGTAAATGGGTAGTTCAAAGACATGCTTTGTAAATTCTAGAAATGTAATGGTGTCTATGTGATCACTGCTAGTTAGCGATTACCTACTGTTAGTTTTTTGGCACTCACGTTCTGTAGATCTGGAGTGATTAACTGCTGTAATTACCAGCCAGGGGTCCAAACACTCTCTCCATGAGCTCTTGCCAACAATTGGTCAGCATAATTTGGTTTTGTTTTTCCATAAAATTTATTTCTCTATGAATTCATCTTACATCTGTTTCTATTTAAAAGTACACAAAGGTGGTGGTTATGGTTGCTGTTTTGTAATTCTCCCTGACTCTCCTGGGAGTCTCCAGCTCCTCCATTGTAAGCTGTGATCCAGTCTAAATAATTAGTGTATCTGCCAGATCAGCCAAAGCCCTTGCAGAGTGTTTGGAAGGTTTTGCTCTTGAGGTGGAGACTTCAGACTGACCGCTTCCTGCACTGTGGTTTCTTCTTTTATCACCCACATTTTCCCAAAAGTAGGGACAGGGGCTGGGAAAATTGCAGAAATCTTAGGCAAAATTAACTCCCTTTCTGATATCAACCTCCCATTGTTCCCATGCAAAGTGCATGTTTTTTTCCAGTCTCTAAGGAGAACCTTCCTGTTTTACCAGCAGAAGCAGCACAACTATGTGTCTTACTGAATTACTGAGTGTCTGGAGCTCATTTACCTGGTGAAGGGAATTCATCATTTTCAGAGGAAGGAAAAAAGTAAGAGGATGGAGTCTAATACAGGCAAAATAGCAAAGCCATGATGTAACCCAAACAATAATTGATTCAGACTTGCTTTAAACTACTTTCATTATGTTTGATCTGCTCTGTGGGATGGCGTAAGAGTAGGCTGTATCTGGAGTTGTAGGATTCTATTTGCTTTTAAGAATGCAAATGTTTGTGTATGTGGAAGGTTTTGTTTTCCACACATGTGCTGATATTCTTAGTGTGACTCCATGGGATCATGGGTCTTGCTGTGGATGGAGAAAAGGATGTATATATGTGACTGTCTCATGTAAAGTGGAAGCATCATCTCCTGGCTCTTACATTTTTGTGGTGCAACAACTTCATAGTACTTTAGAGATGTTCTGGATCTGCTTTTTTATGTTCTGAGCAGATGGCCAACCCATGCCCAGAACAATTGCCTTGCATGACTGACATGTCTAGGATACATTACATTTGCTCTGTGTGTGAACTGCATGTGTGCTTATTGATAGTTTATCCAGGGTTTTTGGACCCACAGGAGTCCCAGGCAAGTGGTTGGCCCTGAGCTTGCTCTGTTACCAGGGAGAGGAGATGAAGGCATGACTTCTTCCTGCTTTGCCCTTGTAGTAAATTTGTCTGGTTGTAACTATACCAAATCCTATGGAAGTAGGATACCCTTGGAGAGTGGGGATCAGCTAGTCTGCGGAATGAGCTCTTTTAGCATGAGCTTCACTGGTATCTGCAAAGATAGCTTCACAGATCTGTGGATCACGGACAGCTTTGGAAGAGCTCCTGCACTCTTATTTTGGCAAGGGATGGAAACAAGATGACTGCAAGCTAGAGCTCACATGCTGAGGTTTCCTTGATATCCTTGGTACAAAGTAAAGGGTTTTTCCTTCTGAACTGTTCTGTTGTAATAAATAGGTGATATATAAACATCTGGTTATGAATGTGTTACGTAATTATTGCTAACGATTCTTTTTCAGGGTATGAGCATTATAGAGCAGCTAGATCCTGTATCTTTTAGCAATTACTTGAAGAAATACCATAATACAATATGTGGAAGACATCCTATTGGAGTATTATTAAATGTAAGTAACTTTTGATTTGTTGAAGAATGTAACTTTTAGAAAAATGCTTACATTGGTTTAAAACACAGTATTGCTGCAGCATTCCTTAGTTCTAAAATGACAAACCTTGAATTAATTTATTTTTCCAAATGTTCTCAACTTGGTCTCCAGTTTCCGTGTCTTGCATATAGACAGATGTAAGCTCTTAAAAGGGCTGAGAGTTTTCAGTTCCCTAGGGGAGATGAGGTACACCACATTCCTTTTGAATTTCAATGAAATGCAATAATTCACTTTCTCTTGGCCTTAAAAAAATGAACAAATAAATCCATCTCCCTGAAAAAGTACATACTTACTCTTCAAACCAGTACTTACAAACACGTCTATATTTTTTCTGTATTGCTGTTAGCTAGCTATTGTGAGTGCCTTGTGATTTCTGGCAACGTTTTTGACTTTTGCAAATATGGTGAGAGACTGCCTCTGTAAGTATTAGTGCAGTGCACCATTAACTCATAAATTAACAGCAATTAGAATTCAGATTAACTGGTACTTTCTATTTACTGTATTCTGCTTTGGTGATGCAGTGCAGGCATAAACCTGGCTCAACTTAGTTGTCTAAATTTGGTCCACGGCTACTTTACACCGCTGCTGGAGTGCTGCAGATTTGTCATATTGCTGATTGAATCTCACTTATTTTTACTCTAAATCAAATCTGAAACAGGAAGCATGTTAACTTTTTTAAAATTCACTGGGAATGTAGTCTGTATGAAGAACATACAGAGGAACCTTTTGAAGTGAAGCTTGTATGAGTAATATCAATACTGAGGATGCAAAATTCAGTACTGTGAGAACTCTGCAAATATAGCCAACTCTTACCTTCAGATAATGATTAGTTTTGCAGTGAATCAGAGCTAAATTCTGTTTATTCACTTTTGCCAATTGTCACGCTTTAATAAATTATCCTTGTACATTATTTTTCATTAATGGAAGAAATACAATCTAAAAAGTGTTAATAGTGTTGGGGTTTTCTCTATTACATCTCTGTATCAACTCCCCATGGAACTGAAAGCATTGTTTCTAAGGGACCTATTATGAAAGGTTGTTCAGTATTGCTTCAAAGAACTGCATGAATGTATATAATGCAGTGGGGGGAGCGTCACTGAATGAAAACGCACACAAATGGTTAGGCCCAAAAATTACGGGGAGGTGCTTATATGAGGACCTCCAAAACAGGGGGAAAGGACTGAGAACTAGAAAATGTTGTAATTTCACTGATACAATTTTTTAATGGCCCCTTTTTATTTTCCCCCCTCTCTTTAGGCTATCAACGAGCTCCAGAAGAATGGAATGAATATGAGCTTTTCATTTTTGAATTACGCTCAGTCAAGCCAGTGTCGAAACTGGCAAGACAGCTCAGTGAGTTATGCAGCTGGAGCACTTATGGTCCACTGAACCACTGAATGCTCAGGGATGGCACCTGCACACACTCTGTATACGGGGTCCCAGCCTAGCCCTTACAAAGATACAGTCCCTGGTCTTTGGGTATACTGAAACCTCAAACTAATAGAACTCTGTTCTTTTCTAGTAGGTGTAGTCCTTCCTTAGTTTCAACTCATTTAAAAATGCTTTCTTGTTTAGGACAATGGAAGGAAGGCTGGTATAAGAACTTTTTGTGCTTTTTTTTTTTTACCTTTTTTTTTCTTTTTTTGTTTTTTGGGGAAGAGATAATGGCTGTGAAGGCATGGTGGTAGACTGTCCTTACAAATACAACATATAAAGCATTTACCATATCCTAAATTTGCACTCTTTGCAGACCTGTGCACATATACTCTGCTTTCAGAATAGTTTTGCAAGTTGTAAACGGAAAAAGGGGGTGGAAGCTTTTTAATAAAAGAAAAAAAAAAAGGAAAACAACGCATTTATAAATTATCCTGTATTAGAATATAATAAAACTCCAGTATAGTCAGTTACTACCCGTGATGTACAACAGATATCTTCTATTTTAGTTGCTAATAAAGGGCTACACAAACCAAAATAGTCTGATTTAAACTTATTGTTTTGTGTTCTGTATGTGGCTGCTTGTCATTAACATTCTTTATCTTCAGTTCTTGTGCTTGATAATTCAGCCATTCTGTAAAATACTTTAGAATGTATTTGTATTCAACATTTCTTGACTACTTCATTTACAGATTTTTTTTTTTTATCTTAAACCTGCACTATGAGTTCAACAAAAGACTTTGAAAAACTTTTTGTATGGTCTTAATTTTTTTCACAATTATCTATGTAGTAATATCTTTTAGTATGTGATACAAATTTGTATCAGAAATACTTTTAATGATTTTTATGCTAAGTTTGATTACTGAAGTGAAATAGATGCAGTATTTTTGTTTGAAATTCCTTAAAATTGAAAACAAACAGTAGCTTGAAAATGATAATTCTTAGATTATCTGTCTGGCATTCAGAGGCCAAAGAAGCCATACAGTGCTAAGCTTAAGCAATTATTCTGCAAAGATTATTTGGGAGGGGAAGGTCAGACTTCTCTTTTTATCTTTCATTATTATTTTTCATTCTTTTACTGTGGATAGAAATAGTTTTATTTTTTTTAAACATTATCACATCTTAAAGGTTCTTGAACTTTCTTCCAGCCAAAAAATTGATGTAATTATTTCACTTGTCATTCCTGAAGACTTCCTTTTGTTCTAATAAGAAATGCAAAGTAGGATGCAGTATTGGCTCATTATCTAAATGGAGATTTCATTCCCTGATATTTCACCTGCTGTCAAGAAACGTAGTACATTCAGCTTTTCTGAGCGGCAGAGGGGAATTTCCCAATTCAATTTAGGTTATCTCTGAAAGTTGTGGGAATTGCTGCCTGTGGGGTCTTAGCTGAAAGCATACCAGACATCCTGTTTATTCCTATTTAAATACCCTCTGCTTGCACCACTTCTTTTTTCTTATCAGAGTTGGCCACCATTTTAATAATAGCAGGTGAATGCTCCATTTATAAAATGAACTACTTTGAAAATGTTCAGAATCCATCCCAAATGCCAAACTCCTTTGCATGCTGGTTCTTTTAGTTGCCTTATTGCTCTGCCTTGTTCTTGAAACATCTCAGCAGCAGACAGGGAAAACAACTTTGAGATTACTTTTGACAGACCAGTGAGAAGGCTGTACATGTAAAACTGAATTAGTAGACAGTCTTTATAAATATTTGTCTGACTGTGCCTTATTAACAAAGTAGTTTGATCAGGAAGAATTTTTTTTAAATGTCTTTGGTGAATTCAAGTTTAATTGGGGGTCGGGTTTCTTTCAGTCTTATGCCAAATGCTTAACATCATTGAAACACATAGTTAATTAGAAGATTTAATTTTCTCCCTAAGGTAAACATAGTAATTAGCTTCTGAATACAGATGCCTAAGTTGCATCTTGATTCTGTAAGATAGTTTTAATGAAAAAAAAAAAACATAACTGGAAGAGCTTCAAGGAAACTGGTCAGCCATTTTGCTCAACACAATGTTATGAAATATATTGAAAGCACTTCACATGTAAACTGTGTAATCTATTTCAAAATAAAGTTTCTAATTAAAATGGGAATTTCTGTGCCTACTAGTAATAACCAGCATGACAGTTCAGAAGCTCACTCAGAAATTTAAAGCTTTGTGGAATCTGCTCTAACCTAGAAGGATTTGTTGTAAAAACCATGTTTGTTTGAAAGCAGAAAATACCTGACTTCAAAGAACTCAGATTTTTTTTTTGCCCTTTAGATGAGCTTGGAAGGAGTCGACTTCCTGGTGTGTTAGTTTAAGATGTGTCAGGAAGAAAAGCAGATAATCTCCTGAATAGATCTTCACTCAAATCTATTGTTTTAACTTTACTACATTTTATTCTCACTTAAATATACATTTGAGTATAGTGTGTTGGGACAAAGAATTTTCAGTTTAGACAATATTGAATATTCACAGTCCTCTTCCCTTTTGTGGCAATTTCTTCTATGCGTAGAATCACTGAGCTTTAGCCACACTTCTGGTGCAGTAAACCCAGACAGGGACGTGATTCTCATTTTAAAATTTTGGCATTTTAGAGAAATGTTAAATGTGCAAAAATGTTGATTAAAATACTCCGTTGTTTTTCTGTTCTCATGTTCACAAAGGAGCTTCATAGATTTTATTTTCTGTAAATACTGTCTAAAAAGTTCCTTCCAAGTACTATCTACTGAATTCTTAATTCTTCAGTATAATGTTTTTGACATTGAAATGGAACAGTGGGTCTTCCACGGCTTTGTGTTTAAATCAGCAGAAGCAGGAGCAAGCATCCCTCTGCGGGACAGTGAATGCTTCTACAGCCACTGGGAGCCACCTCTTGCTTCCAGCCAAGTTCAAGAACACAAGCCCCTCATGGAATGGAGCAAGTTAAGTGTAGCTGCTCCAACTCTCAGCCTTCCACAGTTCATCCTGACTATATTTGTCTGGCTATATTTGTTATTTATTTTAATCATGACTTGAGTAGCTTTGATCCAATGTTGTTCTTTGAACTGCACATGTACTTCAGTGCAGTTCTCCTTTCTCAGAGCCTTCAGAAATGCCAAGTTTGCCCTCGCATTTTTAGGCCTAGCTCTTGCTCTCCCTGTTTCCCAGTCCAGGGGCTCATTGCTGTGTCTGAGGGGTTCTGCATGTTGCTGTAGACTTTACTTGGGAATTTTGAATTGACATTTCAAGTGCTGAAAGAGGGGTGGGGTTGTTCTGTTTGATTCCTGCACACAGAGCCTCCCAGTACTTTTGAATGTCGCTTTGGTCGTTGGTATAGGGCTTTGCCATGTTATGTTTGTAATTGTCCCCTTACTCCTGCTGGAAAAATGTTCTCCTCTGCATCAAAGGAAGCTTGGCTTTGAAGTGGTATCAGTCACCATGATTTGCAGTTGCTATTTCCTTGGATTGAGTTCAGTGTGCCAACTTAACATCTGATCCACTCTCAAAAACTGCCCAAAGTCTTATGTTCATGGTGAAATGTTTAAAATCCCTTGTATAAATGACCTTTTGCCTTCCTACTTCAGTGAAGAGCTTTCCAAAATTACCCTTTGAAACTAGCCTATGAAAAGATTTTCAGTGTGAATGAAAAATGAATTTCAGGATCCAGTGTAGTGCACCTTAAAGCTGTGAGATTTTTTGGAACATCGGAATCCACAGTGCAGCCACATGGCCTTTTCAATAGATGGTTGCAAAACATGACTTGAAATTAGACTGTGGGGATGAAATTACTTTATTCTGAGTAATGCAAAATCTCTTGTCTCTAGAGCTTTTTTTAATTTCATTTTTTTTCTTATTTGATTTTGTCTAATTCTGAAAAGAGTTTGTCACTACAGACAACTTCCAGATGTCTAGTGTCATTTGGTGGTTATTTTATTCCAGCATTAGCTGAAAACTCAGCACTGAATTCTTCACGTCTTTCTCATACCTATTTAGTATGTGCATTCCTTGCTGTTGGGGTCTGAGACATCTCTCCCATTGCTTATACCCCAGGAATGAAAATGCCGTGGTGCATTTTCATCTGTAAATTGAGAAAGCATGTCCGTTTGTTTTCTCATGGGTTGTGGGAGGATGTGTTGGTAGAGGCTTTGGATCATTTGGAAAGGCGGAGGAATGAGGATAATGGTCATAGATGGGGAAGAAAATTGTTGCTTTTCAAATTTGATGTCAGCAACTGTTCTGCTATCCTGTTTGAGAGCTGCATGCTGCCAAATACTGCCCAGTGAAGCTGTCAGTCAGGTGCAGTGGTGGGCAGCCTGTTATTGCTACTTCCAAGATGAAAAATGCTGGAATATTTTGTAAAGTGTAGCTCAGTTTGTTGAAACTCAAGGGTGAAAATCCTATGCTGAAATCTTTAAATTATAAAGATAAATAATTTTGTCTTGGCCTTTACTCAAAGGTGACAGATCAATGCCCATACCCCCCCCGGTTTCTAAGTTGATGTGGTTCTTGGTGGATTTAAGAGAAGTAAATAATTATCCCAGCCCTGTGATCTCCATTGATACTAATATAAATATGTATTCCCTACAAATAGTTCTAGATACCTTTTTCAAACCTTGTGGAAACAAAGTTATATAATTACTCTTTTCAAACAAAAATGTATCCTTATTCTAGTAGCTGTATTTAAATATCATTAAAAGAATTAGCAGGGCCTCAAATCTGCTGTGAATGAAGCCAGTAATGAAACTTTAGACTTCAGTGATACGGTATCTGGTCTGTATATGACAAGTACCTAAATGACAAGAGGAATAAAACATTGTGTTAAACATCAAACTAGGAACTCTCTAAACCTGAACTACACAGATTTTTTTTCTCTAGTCAATTTTAAAACAGTGAGAAATTACTTTCCTGAGCCTGTGACCATAGCTTCACGATACTGAGGACAGTAGTGCTCTTGGGTGAAGTCCCTTTGTTGGTAAAAGGCGTTTATTGTTCTTCGGAACTCTTGCAGCACAAAGTGGAGTGTTGGCATCTTAGTGCCTGGGCTGCAGAGGCTTGTCTGAGCTGCTGGTCTGTGCAGGCAGGTAGGGAAGGGCATCCCCTGGGATTTGTAAGCTGATACTTAAATGACTTCCCATTTGTCTCCACAATTGTTATAAAGATTTTTGAAGAGTGAGCCTTTAAGCTCAGCTGCGATGAATCAGTGCTGGAATTCATGCTTTTTTTTTTTTTTTTACTGATAAAAAACTACTTTTTTATGATCACAGTCCAAAGAGCCTGTGTTACAAATAATCCGTCAGTAAGATGTCTGCTATAAATGGCTGGTCTGGAAATGCTGACTGACATCAGAACTACTTTCAGGGAGAAAGCACATTTCTGCGTTATAAGAAATGTTCTGTTCAGAGGGCTGGGATGTAACCAAACAGTGCTTTCAAGCTGTTCTAAAATAAACTGACTTAGTTATTCTATATAAGCTCTTAGCTTTGGTACGGGCCCAGCGTTGCATCCTTCAGATGGACAGCAGGGCAATGGGATGCATAACTGACATGTACCTCACATATTTCCTAGCCAA